AAAAAAAAAAAAGAACCAGAATGTTGGCTTGGCACCTATGGCTCAAGTGGCTAAGGCACCAGCCACATACACCTGAGCTGGCGGGTTCAAATCCAGCCCAGGCCCACCAAACAACAATGATGGCTGCAACCAAAAAATAGCCAGGCAGTTGTGGGAGGCGCCTGTAGTCCCAGCTACTTGGGAGGCGAAGGCAGGAAAACTGCTTGAGCCTAAGAGTTGGAGGTTGCTGTGAGCTGTAATGCTGTAGCACTTTATCCAGGGCAACAGATTGAGGCTCTCTCTCTAAAAAAAAAAAAAAAAAAAAAGCCAGGATGTTTTAGTATAAAAGGAAAAGTCCCAGCACAGTGGCTCATACCTGGGATACCAAAGCAGGAGGATTGCTTGAGGTCAGAAGTTGGAGACCACCATAAGCAAGAGTGAGACCCTGTCTTTACTAAACATAGAAAAAAATTAGCTGGGCATGGTGATGCACACCTGTAGCCCCAGCCCAGCTGCTCAGGAGGCTGAGGCAGGAGAATTGTTTGAGCCCAGGAGTTTGAAGCTGTTGTGAGCTACAATGCCACTGTACTCAAGTTGGGGCGATAGAGTGAGACTCTGTCTCAAACAAAAAAAAAAAAAGAAAGAAAAATAAAATTAGAAAATAAAATAATTAAAATAACAGCCCTACAATATTAAAGTTGAATTGTGTATGTAAGTACATAGCTCACTGCAGCCTCAGATTCCTGGGTTCAAACTCCTGGTCTGAGTAGCTGGGCTGGGGTTACAGATGCACAGCACCATGGCCTGCTAATTCAAACTTTTTTTTTTGGTAGAGATGAGATATCGCTATGCTACCCAGGCTGCTCTGGAATTCCCGGCCTCCAGTGATCCTTCTTCCTTGGCCTCCCAAAGCTGGGATTATAAGCATGAGCCACTGAGCTTGGCCAGACTGCCATCTTTAAACACCATCTCTCACTAAGATAAACCAGAAGCCATTGAGGAAATAGCTAGTTCAATATACAAAGCAAGAAACAGCAGACTTTTCTGACAGAACAAGGAAATGATCAAATCCTTCTGGGTTGTATCAAAAAGGCAAAGAGAAAAAAAAGAGAGGGGGAAAAAGAAAAAGGAAAAAAAAAATCCCAAAAAGACAAAGAAGCCAATCTGAAGAGGTTCCCTCTGACTAAGAATGGTATAGTATGAGCATTAAAAAGAATTAAAAAAAAAATAGGCTGGGCGCTGCCTGTGGCTCAGTGAGTAGGGCAACGGCCCCATATACCGAGGGTAGCAAGTTCAAACCTGGCCTCGGCCAAACTGCAACAACAACAACAAAAATAGCCAGACATTGTGGCAGGTGCCTGTAGTCCCAGCTACTTGGGAAGCTGAGGCAAGAGAATCACTTAAGCCCAGGAGTTGGAGGTTGCTGTGAGCTGTGACACCACAGGACTCTACCAAGGGTGACATAGTAAGAATCTGTCTCAAAAAAAAAAAATCTGAATAGCGCTATACCTATCAAAGATATTGAGTCAATAATTAATAACCATCCCAAAAAAGAAAGCACCTGCTCGTTGCCTGTAGCTCAAGGGGCAAGGGCACCAGCCACATACACCAGAGCTGGCAGGTTCGAATCCAGCCCGGGCCTGCCAAACAACAATGACAGCTACAACCAGTAAATAGCCGGGCATTGTGGGGGGTGCCTGTAGTCCCAGCTACTTGGGAGGCTGAGGCAAGAGAATCATTTAAACCAGGAGTTGGAGATTGCTGTGAGCTGTGATGTGACAGCACTCTACCAGGACAATAACTTGAGGCTCTGTCTCAAAAAAAAAAGAAAGAAAGCAAGCAAGAAAGAAAGCACCACACTCAGTGGTTTCATTGTTGATTTCTACCAAATATTCAAGGAAGAAATAATACCAGTTCTCCACAGTATCTTCCGTGAAGTAAAGGGAACACTTCCTAACTCATTCTCTTAGGCTAGAATTTCCCTAATAGCCAAACCAGAAAAAGTTATTATAAGAAAGGAAAACTACACACCAGGATTTACTGTGAACATATAATCAAAATCCTCAAAAAATCAGCAACTCAAATGTAACAGTTCAAATACAGAATTATGCACCATGACCAAGTGGGATTTATTCCAGGTATGCAAGGCTGTTTCAACATTCAAAAATCAATCACTGTAATCTACCACATGAACAGGCTTAAAGGAAAAATCACATAATCTTATCAGAAAAAAAGCACTTGACAAATGTCAAGACCTGTTCATGATAAAATAAACAAACAAAAAAAAACCCTCTCAGCTATCCAGGAATAGAGAACTTCTTCAACTTGGTAAAGAACATCCACTTTTGACAAGAAGAATTGCTAACTTCATACTTAGTGATGAGAAACTAGATGCTTTCCCCCTAAGGTCAGCAACAAGACAAGATTTTCCTTTTTGCCACTCCTATCCAGACTCATACAGAAAGTCCTCGCTAGATAATGCAGTAAAACAAGAAAAGGAAATCAAAGACATAAAGATTGGAAATGAAGAAATAAACTGTCTTTATTCACAGTT